GGTCCCCGGTCCGGTACGGGGGCAACACTGAGGGTTGCGATCCGTTGCCGGACACAAAAAAAAAAAAAAAAAAAAAAAAAAAAAAAATTCTTATTTTTTATATTTTGAATAATTGCCATACCGTTTTCTACAGCAGCTACCCCATTTTACATTCCTACCAGCAATGCACAGGGTTCCAATTTCTCCACATTCGTGTCAACCTTTGTTATTTTCTGGTTTTATCTTTTTTGTTTTGTTTTTACATAAAGGCCATCCTAATGGGTGTGAGGTGACATCTCATCATGGGTTTGATTTGCATTTCCCTAGTGATTAGTGATGTTGAGCATCTTTTCATATGTTTATTGGCCATTTGTATATCTTCTTTGGAGAAATTTCTTTTTTCAAAAAAAGATGACCGGTAAGGGGATCTTAACCCTTGACTTGGTGTTGTCAGCACCATGCTCAGCCAGTGAGCAAACCGGCCATCCCTATGTGGGATCCGAACCCGGGGCCTTGGTGTTATCAGCACCGCACTCTCCCGAGTGAGCCACGGGCCGGCACTTTGGAGAAATTTCTATTCAAGTCTTTTGCCCATTTTTAAAATCCAGTTGTTTGGGTTTTTTTGTTATTGTGTTGTAGAAGTTCTTTATATGTATTCTAAATATTAACCCCTTATCACATATATGATTTTCAAATATTTTCTCCCATTCTGTGTGTTATCTTTTCATTCTGTTGATTGTGTCCTTTGATGTGCAGAGTTTTTAATTTTGATGTAATCCAATTAATTTTTTTATTTCATTATCTGTGCTTTTGGTATCATATTCAAGAAACTATTGCCAAATCCAGTGTTAGAAAACTTTTCACCTACATTTTGTTATGAGTTTTATAATTTTATAGTTTTTGTATATGATGTATATGGTATAAGTTAAGTGTCCAGCTTTATTCTCTTATATGTGGATATCCAGTTTTCCCACCACCATTTATTGAAAAGACTGTCCTTTCCCCATTGAATGGTCTCAGCACCC